AAAGTTAGAAGTAAACTAGGGCAAAAGATTCGATTTCTCGCCTATCCGATGCCAGTCGAACAGATAGATTGCAGAATTATATCTCACATATATTCATTCATGAGAGTACAACAGACATTGTTGGAAATATGTCTAACACAATAATAATTGTATTATTGTATCTCTATGTTCATGATAAAGTTTATTATATTTTTGTATTATACTTGCGTTGATTCTTGAATATGACATTCAGGGGAAAACTCAATTGCATGTGTAGAAACATAAATACCAAATGGATCCGTCATGCCTCTAGGACACTCGTGTATTGATGATGATTTGTTTCCATCATGGTCATTGTTAAAGTAACAAGGATACGATCAATAATGAGAGCACATTGTTATTGGCACAATAATGTTTGTTGGATAGACCCAACTTATGAATTCTTTCGCAAAAAAAGACCCAACTTATGAATTACTGTGAGATAGAATCATTGTTATGTTGTCGGTATTTTTCAGTATGATGTTAATTTCTACTTACATCCTTGGAAAATGGTAATATTGTATACCAACACACCGAATGGGTACTTTGGGGTTGCCAAACATCACACCTTAAGTGGATGACAATAGAAGTAGTTTAGGGGTATACTGGAAAAGTGCATCTTGGTGTCAATAGTTCAAGATTAGGATTTTCTCCTCCGACAATGGTGGGATACTCTACAAGCCCACTCGGTATATAGATTTTTTTTGAAAAGGAGGATGACCCCCGGCCTCTGCATATGGGCGATGCATACGACCACTTTATTAATTATTCTCACAAGACCTTACAAAGTAATACAACAGTAAGACTAAAGCCGCCGTCTAAGCACCTCTATCCAGCTGATGAAGGGCGCAGATAGCCTGGGCCTAATACCAAACAGACATCGCAGCCAAACCTAACATCTAAGACCTGAGAACCCATCCAGGACGCCTGCCGGGCATGGGTCTCACCGGTCCGGCGTGCACTCAGATGCCGCCGCCGCCAACTGCCACCGCTCCATCTTCAGAACTGTACTGATGCATCAATCTTGCTCGGTCTAGCTATCGTCGACGCCACCACAGCGCCAAACGGCACCTCCTCCCTGCGCGCAAACAGCTGAGCACGTCGCGGTCGCCACTGATACACCTCAGCGCCATGCTGCCAGGTATCACCAGCCGACACAGCTTGAAGTCCTTGGAAGATCTGTCGCGCGTAGCACCTGCCAACCAGGCATGACAAAGCGTAGCACCTGTCGGTCAGGCATGACTTGACATCACCCCCGAAGCTCCGTGCAAGACGAAGCCGCTCCACCTCCTGTCTATGACATTCAGCGCTGCTCCGCAAACGATGCTCCCAAGAGAGAAACGACACCGCAGTGCCGCCATCGTCCGATCTGAAACACCAGATCCTAGGGTTTCCCCTGGAGCAGCACGAGTGGGTCGACAATAGTTACACGACGATGCCTTCATCAAGGTAACGGCGAGAACGCCGCCATCGCCTGCCGTCGGCTCGGTTTTCACCGGCAACCATGTCTCCCCTACTCGCAACCGGGACAAGATGATGGATCTCGAGATCCGATCACCAAGCCTCTGGTCGGCCATCTCGGGAAGAAGATGACCACCACGTCCAGCAGTCTCACCACGCCGGGCACGCGTCGTCGCCGGCACCCCCATGGTGCCTAGAGGCCAACAAGCCCCGACGAATCCCATGCCTCGCCAGCCGCCATGGCCCAGACCCCGGCACCACCAGATCCAGATCGGATGGGTCCGGGGCCCCAAGCCGCAACCGCCACGGAGGCAGCACCACTGGACGGCGCCTAGCCCTCCAGCCCGCCGCCGAATCCTCGCCGGAGCTCCGCCACGCCATGCCGCCAAGCCGCCGCCGGAAACTCGCGCCGCCGCCAGAGAAGCCACAGCCGCCGCGCGTTGGAGAGGCCTCAAGCCGCAGCTGCACCACCGCCAGGCAGAGGTGCCGCCACCCAGCACGCCCTCCGCCGCGCCGCTAGGCCCCGCCCAGCCCAGCGTCGTCCCGCGCCGCGCCGTCCCGCTTTGGACGCCAACCGCGAGAAGAGGGGCAAGATCCCCGCCGCCACCAACGCCGGCCGGTCTTTGCCCGGTGGCGCTATGCGGTGGCGGCGGGGGGAGAGAGATCGACGGGGGGGGACGAGGGGCGGCGGCTAGGGTTTCCCCCGAGGACGCTCGCGGGAGCGACTCGGGGGTCGGGACTCGGCTAAGGGACTCGAGCGCCCGAGTACTCGCCTCGCCTTAAAAATTGGGGAGATTTTCACTTCCCAGCCTCTGCACCAACTAAGGATGCATACGGCCACTGAGCCAAGGCTCTCTCTGCACTGGAGATAGATAGATAGATAAATATAGATATAGAGATAGAGATGGAGATGGAGATGGAGATGGAGATGGAGATGGATATAGAGATAGAGATATATCCTAGATATGCACAAATATCTCGAACAATTACTACTAGATTCACCGTCTAGCTCAAAATCTTCTAGTGGCGACCTTGCCTGTGGGTCGGTCCACTATTTCAGCATTTCCGAGTCAACTAAGAATTCGGCTATATAAGTAGGACCAAAGCTACCTAGCACACTCCACACTACCCGATAGATATCTAAGACACTCGAAGCAACCACTTAGTACTTACAATGGCAAGAGCAATTGTAATGATATTACTCATGGCCATTGTGCTTGTTGCCACTACGCCGACGACACACGCCATGGACATCACAAATAGTGATTTGGCATCTGAGGAGTCCCTATGGGCACTATACGAGCGATGGTGCAAGCGTCACAATGTGGGACGCGACCTCAGCGACAAGGCCCGGCGCTTCAAAGTGTTCAAGGAGAACGCTCGCATTATCCATGAATTCAACCAAGGTGACGCACCCTACAAGCTGAGCCTCAACCTCTTCGCTGACATGACTGATGAAGAGGTCGACCACATGTACGGTCGCTGCTCCAACATTAGGCCGGACAGCGGGAAGCGGAGGCAAGACCAGTTCACACACGGAGTTGTTGTCGCGCGTGACAACTTACCAATGTATGTGGACTGGCGCATGACAGGCTATGACCAACGCCCGTCGGCGGTGACAAGCGTGAAGATACAAGGAGGTTGTGGGGGCTTGTTGGGCTTTTGCGGCGGCAGCAGCAGTGGAGGGCATCAACTCCATCAAGACGAGGAACCTGGTGTCATTGTCTGCGCAACAACTCATAGACTGCGACGAGGGAAGTACTGGTTGTGTTGGCGGCGGCGCACTAGTAGCCTTAAAGTACATTTATAATCACGGCGGCATCACCACAGAGGCTAACTACCCATATGTTGCCTATAAGCATAGCTACTGCTTGGCGTCGAAACGTCACCCTGTCGTCACCATCGATGGCATCAAAGAGGTGCCGAAAAAGGATGAGGTGGCATTGATGCAGGCGGTGGCAGCCCAACCCGTTGTTGTGGTGGTTGACCCAAACGCCTTCAGGCGCTATGGAGGAGGTGTCTTTGTGGGTCCATGTGGTACGGATCAGACCCACTCAATGTTGGCGGTGGGGTACGGCACCACCGATGACCATGACCCCAAGAGACGCATAGATTACTGGATCATAAAGAACTCATGGGGGGCAAAATGGGGTGAAAATAGTTACATCCGCATGGCACGCGGAGCCGGTCCTTCCAAGGAGGGCCTATGTGGCATCCTGATGCAAGCGTTTTACCCAGTGAAAAATTAGTATGAAACGTGGGAATGATATCATGAAAATAATTTAATGGCAGTCTATCTGAAAAAGCAAACTAATGCACATGTATCCAACGACGTCTTCTTTCATTTGATTCACCACTACCTCAACTACTACTACTGCTATTGATTGTATTTTCTGATTTCTCTCTATCTTTCTTCTTATATTTGATTTCACTACTATTACTTATAAAATCACGAGTTTGGTGAATCCAAATGAACTGAGCCATCCAACTATCTATATACAGTGTCTCACCCTACACCAATGATGTATCCATCACATAATCATAATTTGGAAATATGTTAATTACACGGACCACAATTTTAAAAAGAAATTAATTTGCAGTAAGCACAACTAATCTTGGAATCAACATTATTTGCAGATAATCATGGGAATAATATAGGAATAGGAAAATGATAGGAAGTGAGATGACATGCATTTCAAATCATATAGAGAAAGAGATGCCATTTGATGCATAGATAGGGATTTTTTAATTGAGTCTAGGCCAATATTTTTTTCCTTTGAAATATGAATGATTGATTCCTATCCCACATAAGAATAGAGATACATTCCTAAAAATCAAAGGGCTCCAAATGAATTTTTGCTACAAAGGGCACCAGACGGGCAACGTGCCGTCTGGGCACTTATATGGAGGTACCCTGCACCAAATCAAGCTAGGACGGCTGTTTGGCTAAGGTCTGGCCCTGCTAATGTACCCGAACTTTGTTTGGAGGAGCTTCCTCCAGCTTGAGCAATGAAATCCCTTTTAACCCCGCAAAAAAAAATCCTACAATACTCCTATGAACCAAAGGTGATTGATTGGGCCTTCTGCCATATGAAGCCCACGAACGGAACGACTAACCCTAACATTCCATCTCTCTGTGTTTTGTTAGCAGTCTCAGGCGAGCAGTCGCCGCCGCCGCCGCAGCCGGCAGTAGCTCGCCGATCGACTCGCTTGCCGGTTGCAGTGATGGAGAGAAGGAGAAGCAAACGTTGCCGCTTCAGTCCCCCATATCTCTCCTCTTACACGACTCGGGACCTCTGCGACGGCGTCCGCCCTTGGTTTGCTCGCCGTCATCACGGTATCTCCATGCCTGAGGCTTCACCCATAGACAATGTACCAGGTGCGCAGGAATACCGATGCAGGGAGGCCGAGGGTCTTCATACAAATTCCAGGTAAAATCACATGCCTTCTGTTGCAGAAGTTGTGTTGATACTATGTTGGTGGAGATGAGAAAGTAGTGCAAGATGCATCCGTACAAGCTCCTTCTCAGTGGCGGTGACGGCAGCAAGAAGCGCCATATTTTCCGTGCCCACCTCCTTCCTCTAGTGGTGTCGTCTTTGCCCGCCAAAACCCAGACCTGGAATTTTGCAGTTAATTTGTAATTGGATTGGTTATGTGATTATGACTGAAGCGCCGAATGGTGCGTTGTAATCGGCCGGGTGACGGGAATCTTTTCCCTACAGAGAAATTTTGTGTTTTGCCCAAATGATAAGTGTCATACTTGCGGAACGAAGCACTCTAGACCTGACGTATTTTGCTTGTAAAAAACAAAAACCAATTTGTCCCCAAATTGACAATTCAAACACTTGAAAAGGTGTACCAAAGAACAACATTAAATTTGCTACTTGTACAACACAGGAACAAAATCCCTCCAATACAAACGTTATCATGCTATAAACGTAGCAACAGTAGTGCATCTACATCATATAGAACAACTCATCTAACAACATCCACCCGCTCCATGACTGAAAGAATGCCTCGAGATCGACACGAAGAAGCCCACCCTCCGCTCCGAAGAACACGACCATGGACTGATCTCCCCAAGGTCGCTGCTGTCTGGTTGAAGACGATCGATGTCCTTCCACAGCTCTCAAAACACCCAATTAAAATTCTGCCCCCAAGCCTCAAGCACCTCTGCGCACCAGGAACCAGCAGGTGTTCGATGGCTTCGCCCCATTGATCTCTCGCTCCCTTAAGCGAGAAAAAGCTTTGCACCCGATGGGAGTCTCTCAAGAAGAGGGTCTCTAACCATACCAAGTGCATCACTATTGAGTTCTGCCTTTACTTCATCTGGATACCAAGCATCAGTCAGTCTTTGAGTTGTATCCACAGTCACAACCTGTAACGCAGGGGCATTCTCCACAAGGTGCATAAGGAATTGAACTTGGCATCTCGCCCCTCTGAAACCCGAGCCATGGATCAGTGGCGGAGCTTGACAAAAACCTTTGGGGGGGGGGGGCAAAGACAATTTTTTTAACCAACTACAACAAACCAAAACATTTCGAAAAGGTGCCATAGCACCCGGGTGCCCCGACACCCCCTAATCCGTGCGTTGAGGGAGTTCAAGATTCGTGCAGTTGAATAGTCAGTAGCAGTCAATTGCGGTGTCAGGTTAATTTAGCAGGCAATTTGCAGACATGCATGACTGGGACTTGGTTGTAGTCTACAGTGTAGGCCTGGCACTAGGATGCACGGGTAAGCTAGTGTTTGCCCTGGCATGAGCCTAGATGGGCCATCGGTTGAAAAGACAACACATATGCGGGGTATCTCATGCAGACCATATGACGTAACGTGCTGGTCAGACCATCAGGGAGCCCTAGGGAGTTCACATGGCAGTTTCTATAGCTTCTTGGTTTATCTTCTGTCAGTGTGGATGGGACAACTCATTTTAAACGGTGCATGCTGCATGCGTATTGAGTAGGCTGCATCCACTTGGCCCCGCCTTCCTGTGGCTGCATGTGCTCCCCAACAAGCCAACATGCAGAAGTTTTTTTAAGGACTCAGATTGTTTATGTAAAGAGCTGGCATCTCCTATACATATCTGTGGGTAGCATTTTTGTGAAATACTAGAGTACACGCATTGGTCACAGAAGATCTTAGCGAATAGTAAAAAGTAAATAGCCTTTTTTTACTTAGCTCCTGTTGCTTGAGACACACACGCTAGCAGTGTAGCCATTCATTGTTTCTTTTTTATGACACTTTTCCTTTCCCACTGCTCTACGGATCCAAGACAATGTGGGATGTATATAAACCAATTGGGTAAAATATAGGTCTCAGCTATAAGGATATGCTCTAGAAAAACAAAAAGACTAGGAGCTAGCTCGACTGTCTATCTTGCGTGAGGCAACACCATTTGACCAACCTAAGAAGCGGGGAATACATCCAGACGTAAGTGAATATCACTGGTAAAAAAGCTTGAGACTTTCTGTTCCTGCTACACTAAATGTTCATGATCCAGGTACATGTATGCTCCGACCTGTTCCGGTACAGCTAACGAGAACCACCTCACGACAGTACCAGGTACAACTAATCATTGTGTTGTGCCTGACACAGCACCAAAATGGATGGACGATTGATGTACCAGGCACAAAGATGACTTATTTTTTAATTTTCACTTTCACAAGGCAATTCATAGACCTGTCATATTGGCCTATTCCACTTCACACATTTGAACTATTCCCACATCGCGATTGTCACTGTCCTCGCCGCACCAACAGTGGAATCAAACATATGAGATAAGTATATTAAAGTAATACTTTTTGAGGGTCCTACTGGCTGTTACTCTATCTGAGGTGCACCGAATATACAACTCCATAGGGAATACTCCTGGCTGCTAGAGTGTACAGCGAATAAGAATATCCCTTTTTTATGTGCACTCGGCCGCATATCTCACAGGAGGTTGTAGCCAAAAGTCTGAGTTCCAAAACGACGGGATGTTTAGGTACGTATTTGCAATTGCCGGCCGATGCAAATAAATTCAGATATATATTTATATGTATCGGTTCGTGTATTTGAGTATAAGAAATAAGAATTTGTCCAATTAATGTTAGTCATGGTCTATTACAGGAAAACAAAAAATTTACTTATTTGCAATTATATTTTAAATTTTCCCCCGAAATGTAGACTTATATGATTGGATAATGGGTACGTATTTACACTTGCCAATCGGCATACGGGCATATTTTTTGCATGGTTTATCTTTTTTTTTGCATGGCGGCATACGGGTATTCAAGTATGTATTTATATGTAAAGGTTTGGGTATTTGAGTATAAAAGACAATGTTTTTTAAATGCATTTGTCAAAGCATTGAAGCCTAGGTGAAGTTAGACCATTTTCAAGACTAAATGTACGTACGCAAAATGAATGTTTCCAAGCGATACCGAAACAATAGCTGCAAACCGAGATTTGATGATAGAGATATGTGGGCTGATACATACAAATATGTACACAAGTATACTTGAGCACTGATTGGCAAGTGCAAATACGTATCAAAATGTATGCATCGCTGATACATACAATATGTGCCCATGCATAGACCTTAAGCACGGGTGCCGGAGGAGAAGCGACTGGGGTGCTAGAGTCCTACGCGGCTATCGTATGCATGATGAATAACAGCTCTGACGATTGCGATGATACTCACTATACCGCTGCAAGAGCATTAATCTCATGGCACCATTACAAGCTGGGTGCTCGTCCCAATCTCAAGTGAGGGGACATATAACTAAATGTACCTTGTATAAGTATACCGTTGTCCATATAATGTACCACATACAAGCATATTATTGTAGTGGCGGAATATACAAAGTCCAATTATTGTGCGCTAATTGTACCAGGTACATGTATACATAAATCTAACTGATATAAGTATACGGTTGTCCATATAATGTACCATATATAAAAGTATCATTGTGGCGACTGAATGTACCAAGTCTAATTAATATGTGTTGATTGTACCAGGTACATGTATTCCTAAATGCACTTGGTACAATTATACATTTGTCCATATAATGTACCATATACAAGAGTATCATTATGGCCGCTGAATATACCAAGACCAATTACTGGGCACTGATTGTACCAGGTACAAGTATGCCTAAATGTACTTGGTACAAGTATACGGTTGTCCATATAATTTACTACGTACAAAATTATCATTGTAGCGGCCGAATGTATAAAGTCCAATTACTGTGTGCTCATTGTATCCGGTAAT